AGCCCCCTAGTGTCCTCTATACCAACTCCTAGCTCAAAATTTTCCAAAAATTGCTGAAATCGATAAAATATATTTCGGTTTTAATCAGCATCCTCATTTACCCCCTGTACCAACTCCCAAGCTCGTAGCTCGAGATTTTCCAAAAATCGATAAAATTCATAAGGTACAGGGCTCCTAAATTGCAGAGTCGTTTGCACCAGCGGTCGCGCGACCGCGTCGCGCCCGGGCATCAATAGCGCCGCCTCGATCGATGGCGCCGGCGTCGGCAAAATGCCCGGGTGCGACGCGGTCGCGCGACCGCTGGTGCAAACGACTCTGCAATTTAGGAGCCCCGTAAATTTTTATCCGTAATCAGCACCCTCACTTACCCCCTTGTACCAACTCTCAGCCCCGCAGCTCAAACTTCCCCAAAAATCGATAAAGTCGGTCGGCCGGCATCTAGTTTATACATCAGCAAAAAGTCATATTTTACCCAATATGGACGATCTAAAAAGCAGTCGATATAAATTTTTATGCTGTGCCCAAAAGATTCTTCTTCAGATGGTCTGAAAGAGACTGATGTACACCAGAATTAACTTTATTTCTTATCAGCATCAACAATGTAAAAGCAAAAGGCTTGCTCTACTTTCTACATCAATTAAAATCCACATATGATTTTTTTAGTGTCGCAAGCAGTCGGAAGAATGCGACTCTCCATACAGTTCAAAGGTATAACGGTTGCAAAACATGCATTACCGAGTTTTGCGAGAAAAACGTGGACGAAGTGAGCTTGATACTCAGCAGTTGGTTTTCCAACAAAGTCGAATAATCTGAATACGGAGTCATTCGAATACGAATTCGAATAAACATTCGAATAAAACATTCGAATAAAATCTATTCAAAACCCCATTTTTCGATTATTCGAGTTTTCGAATAATATTCGAAACCTCGTTTTTTAATTATTCGAGTTTTCGAATAATATTCGAAACCTCGTTTTTTAATTATTCGAGTTTTCGAATTTTATTCGAAACCCTGTTTTTTGATTATTCGAGTTTCGAATATTATTCGAAAATGGAAGAACTCCGAATATCGAATTTCGAATACGAATATATTCGAATGTTTTATTCGAATGATCGAATTTCTATTCGATTCGGACCCAAGTATAGAGGGTAGCAAGGACAAGTATATTCGATAGCCTGATCCTCGCAACTTTCACCAAAGTGATTTGAGCCTGATTGGTCTTCTCTAGTCTGAGAAATTGAAAGCGAAAAATGGAACGAACGAGATTTTGGCTTGCTCTCAATTCCAGAGTTTGGAGGTTATTTGAAGTGGGATTTCTAACACAAGCAAAGAACTAGTAGTACCTTGTAATGGGTGCAAAAAGAAGTAGTTTACTCACCTTTGAAACGAAGTTGTCATGTTGAAAATGACCACCTCATTTAAGTGTCCCAATAATTGAAAACCTCAAAATTCGCTGAAACTTGGCCCTCAGGGGTTATTTGAATGCTAATTACAAAAATAATGCTCTTATGCTTTTAGGATTCTTTTAATATGCTTACGCGTGTAAGACGGTAGGCTAAAACATCAGTGCTGGTATTTTGTACAATAGGCCTATACACTGTTGAATGGCATAATCTAACATCACTATCACCTCGACAACGACCCCCCCCTCCTTCCTGACCCGTCTACGATCCCCAGGTGTGGCGTGCCACACCTTTGACCCTGCGGTATTTTGAGTTCGCCGAAAGACATGAAAGCAAGAGAGTTCTTGAAGATCAAACAGTGTGCACATTTTTTTGGGACACCCTGTATGTCAATAACTTCTGTAAGTGTATCACAACTATAACCAACTAAAATATTATCACATCACAACTACTTGTTTTAGATACCGAGCAAAGTGAATTCACTTCAACAACACTTTTCTTTGCATGAAATGATGTGATAATGGGTGGAGGACTATATGTCGCCGAAAAAGGGCGGTCCTCGCGGTCATTTGCGACAAATACGCACCCTTGTACATGCGCGGACATGCGTTCCTGCAGGGAATCCGCGCGGGACTCTTCCAAATCCGGCGACATATAGTCCTCCACCCTGTGATAATGATTCGGCATTTGTATGCATCATAGCGAGCATTATACTTTGAACCGAATCAAATGATTATTTGATTATTCCAATAAATCATTCGAATGCGGATTCGAAAATTCGAATATTCGAAAATCTGAGATTTCGAATAATATTCGATAGTCGAATATTCGAAAATTTTCATAGTCGAATATTCGGTCGTCATCGATTCAATTATTCGATTTCCCTCGAATATTCGAATATTCGGTGAGCGGCGATTATTCGAAAATTTGATAAGAATCGACTATTCAAAAATTCGATAAGCATCGAATATTCGGAAATTCGATATCACAACATACAGTGCTGGCCAAAAGGTTGCAGCCACTCCCAAATTTTGCTATATCTTACTTTGTTTCATATTGAACGGATCCAGATCTTGATATTACGTGCAAATAACACTGCTTAACACTATGTCGAAAGAATGCAGCTTTATGCACACAGAAGAGGGCTGTGGCGAAAATGACGAATGTAATGAAATTTAGGTTGGTCAAAACTTGCAGCCACTTTCCGCTAAATGTCTTTGAAAAACTTGTCACCGTCCATTATCTTGGCTACAGATGCACCCCTAAGCCTTGAAATATGCAGTGCAACTAGCACTCATCAAACCCCAATAGGAGATTTTACGGAGCAGGTTTGCTCGAACGCCAAATGACTACAAAAATTGGACAAACTATAAGGTTGACGAGGAGTAATCAGCTGATTCGTGCTCTTATAAAAAGGTTGTACCATCTGGACCTTTAGTGGCTGCTTGCGAATGCGACAGAAAAAGCATTATGTGGCATGCTTCAAAATCTAGCACGACTCTCAACTCAGATTCGGAGCATCTTCCAGCTCAAAAATTGGGCTCAGCGGTCTAAAAAGTTCTCAAACTTGATGAGAACACTGTTTCTGCAAAGACGAGCACTGACTCGAATTTTGCGGGGATTCACTGGAAGCATGGAGGGCGCTACTGCCAGAGAAAATTTTTTGCGATTGTCACATCTAGGAAATGTTTGATTACCAAAGGGAAATATCAGTTGTGAAATTCGCGCGAACTTTTCCGAAACAGTAACGCCTCCATGCTTCCAGTGAATCCCTGCAAAATTCGAGTCAGTGCTCGTCTTTGTAGAAGCAGTGTTCTCATCAAGTTTGAGAACTTTTTAGACCGCTGAGCCCAATTTTTGAGCTGAAAGATGCTCCGAATCTGAGCTGAGATGGTGCTAGATTTTGAAGCATGCCACATAATGCTTTTTCTGTCGCATTCGCAAGCAGCCACTAAAGGTCCAGATGGTACAACCTTTTTATAAGAGCACGAATCAGCTGATTACTCCTCGTCAACCTTATAGTTTGTCCAATTTTTGTAGTCATTTGGCGTTCGAGCAAACCTGCTCCGTAAAATCTCCTATTTTGGGGTTTGATGAGTGCTAGTTGCACTGCATATTTCAAGGCTTAGGGGTGCATCTGTAGCCAAGATAATGGACGGTGACAATTTTTTCAAAGACATTTAGCGGAAAGTGGCTGCAAGTTTTGACCAACCTAAATTTCATTACATTCGTCATTTTCGCCACAGCCCTCTTCTGTGTGCATAAAACTGCATGATCTTTCGACATAGTGTTAAGCAGTGTTATTTGCACGTAATATCAAGATCTGGATCCGTTCAATATGAAACAAAGTAAGATATAGCAAAATTTGGGAGTGGCTGCAACCTTTTGGCCAGCACTGTATACGGGGTGTCTTAAGTGTATCTACACGGGGGGGGGGGGGAGGGAGCGACAAAAAATTTTTTTCTGATGAAGGTGCGTGGCGTCAGCCACGCACTCCGAAAATTTTTTTGTGGTGTATCCCAATCCCCAAATTTTTTTTACAAGGCTAATTTGTTTTAAAAGTTTTTAAAAATTATTTTTATTATTTACAAGTAAAAACAAGTCCTCTGCACATTTTTACAACACATTTAAGTAACTTTCAAACTGTTCTGTAGGGATGGTTTCAGCTTATAAATACAACGAGCGAATCACCCATGTTTTTCTTGTGTTATCACGGTGAAAATTTCCAGCATTTAGAGCAACTGCGACATAAAACAAAGAATCCCCAAAAAAGATCTAATAGTGTAGCAGAATTTTTACGTATGCTGGTTTTACTACGCACGAGTTTTCGAGCTTTTCGAATGTGCAATCACATTTTTGAAAAGCGATCAAAAACATTTGTTACGGTGTATCTGGCATAAGTTGTAAGGGAAACATTACGATTGAGTGCTTTATATATGGTGAATGTCTTTAGAAGGCTAAGGTAAGACATTCGGCCTTTTTGATTCTCGTTCCTGGGGGAACGGCTCTTGATATCTCAAATCCCTCTTCAATTTTCCCACAGTAAGTTTACAAAAGTGAAAAGTAATCGATAAATCGCTCCATATTGTAAGTTTAATTGATGTCAGACCTCTGTATATCAATCCACAACTCTCAAGATGGTTTCGACTTTTTCAGGGTTCGAAAAACCTTTTCACAACCGTCACACGAGTACGTTTTAGATTTCAAGTCTCTTCACGTCACCACCAAACCGTATCTTCATCATATATTTTTACATTAAAAAAAGTGTGTTTTCTTGATTGGTCTCTCATAGGCACTCTCACTGACATAAATTATTCGAATAGTATTCGAAAATCGAATGGTATTCGAAAATCGAATAAAATTCGACAACCGAATGATATTCGATACTCGAATATTATTCTATTCGGCATTGTCCATTCTCGAATAATATTCGATAGTCGGATATTCGAAAAAATATTTCAAATTTCATTAAGTATAACGAGCATGTCTCGCTGGTGAACTATAAGAACGAGCTCTAAAGAGCGGATAAGAAAGTGATAAACAGTATCATACAAAATCTTTATGTGCGATAGTCATACTAGCTATGGCTGACCACATCTACTGGGTCTTCGATGGCTGTTTGAATGAGTAGTTTGGCACATAATTATAATACGGATAGGTGGGATTGTTGAACACTGGCATTAGATATTCGTACATGCATACGAGAAACACGACACAGATTGAGTAGACAGTCACAAATATCCACATCTCACGTTTGCTGAATGGATTGTCAACTGTAAGATCCTTTGGAAGGGAGTACCGCCGATTGTTCATCTGAAATTTCCTGTTAACATACGCTGCTGGATGCTATCACGACTTCACCCAGAAAATCGCCGAATCGCCGTGGTTATTGTTGGTAATCTGTGCATATGTCAGCCTGCCAACGTAACAGACGGCTCCCCAATTCGCTGATTTAAAAATGGTAACATTGAAAAGCCTATAGTGGAGGCTGGACCTTACTATAAGTCTGCCCTTTTGCATTCACTACTGTTTTCCTCAACTCTAATTTTGCAGCTACAGTCACAAAGTTTGGAACTGCAACCCTGGGAAGCCGTCTACAGCATTTCTCGCTTCCAAATGCATCAATCGGAGTCAATCTGTTTCAGAAAAAGCAGTTGGTCCATGGAATTTCCAAGACTCAATTGTATGGTTACTGAGATCGGCTAAACCTTTCCAATAGACACGGTGAGAGGCTTAAATAAATTTCGCGACATTAACAAACGAGTCCTAACTCTGTCATAATATAGACACGCTTTTGATCAAACGCTGCTTTCGCTGCGTGGAAAGTTCTGTGATGCATTCAGCACGTAAATGAAATAAATTTGTGTGTGCGTGGGAAAGCTTCGCTGGGCGATCGTGTTACAGTCCGTGTCAATCACGTGCTCCCTTCTCCGTAAGCGCAATGAGCTCCGCTCCACGTTCGCGCGCGCATGGCTCGGGCATTCAAAATGGCCTCATCGATTGGAGGTCCGCACGCGGTGCCCTTGCGTTGCGCATGCGAAGTTCTAATGCGAAAAGGAGTACATAATTGATATTGACTGTATGTTGTACAAGAGCATCCTGCGCATAGTTTGCTCCGACCATTTGGTGGAACGACGCGCTCAAGTTCCAAATTCTTAGTCCGCTCTGAATATTCTGTGACAATTAGTTAAATTGGCAGTACTGAATTTCAGAGTTCTGTCAGCATTGCGCACAGCTACTCTGCTTGAAAAGCGTGTTAGATCCGTACTGCGATTACAATACCAGGGAAACTAGGTAGCTTTTGCACGATCATATCATCCTACAAGCAAAATAATCATGTAATTCAGTGCAGAATCAGGGAAACAGAAAACGGGGTTCATGGAGTAGAAGGTGCTTAGCCCTCAGTGATTGAGGCTTGTTTGTCGATAACTGCAGTCTAAGCAAAAATTGCAGTGTGCTATAAAGCTTGGCAAATCAGTCGTCTTTTTTGAAACGGATTGACTCTTTAATGCATTTGTTGGTAAGACATGCAGTGATTCCTCTTTTTTTTCCAAACTACAGGTTATCCTTGTTGCAAATGTATCATTCAGACATTGTAACTGTGCTCAATTTTGAGAATCAGAAAACTTGATAGATGCAAAGGAGAGGTAAAACTTTGAATGTGCCCAGTCTACGTTTTTAAAATTTTTTTCATTTTATTTCGACCAAATTCAGCGAAATCGGAGTTGTTCTACATGATGATGCTACGTTGTCATATGCTCACAAAACAAGATCTCACAGTTTTATTGATAATATGGCGAAATATGGTGATTTCTGGTGATTTACTGTAGTTTCAGCACTGCCTAATCCTCACCATCAACAACTACAAGGCCGATTTTGCTGCTTTACGTTTGAGAAAAGCGTTGATTGAATATATCTATTATTATGTGCAAAAAGAAAAAATTTTGTATGCGCATGCACGTGAGATACGTGAGTGCATGAGAAATGGCATATCGAAATTTGATAATCTGTGACCAAATGATCCAGCCAAAGTGATGGGAAATAGAAAGCTCTAGTAAAAGAAGGTCTTTTTGATATGAATGCTGTGTTGACGTGAAACACAACTGGAGCGAGAAACTGTGCGAAGGTCTGTGTGCATTAATACTTATTGCGGCTCGAGGCTCACTCTTTGGAGAGAGGATGATGCCAGAGAGACCGAGCATAAAGCAATCAAAAAACGTTAAGCTGCTGAACTTGATGAAATGGAGTGGAATCTGCAAGGTTGATCACTCTTAGATGAAATGTATCTACTGAAAATTTTGGCATCGCGGATCAGAAGCTAAGTTCTAATGCATGATTCTTTCACCGTGATCGCTACTAAATCCATACCACCGCGTGCTGCTTCCAAAATGCATACAAAATCCAGCACAGTCATCTTAAGGAGAAGCTCTTAAATATTTGAATAAGCTATGAAACATGCACCATAGATATAATCACTGCTTAAGAAAATTTCCACATAAACCGACAACACTCACTTCATTCGATGCGTATTGCATGGGTATTTCTTCAAGTTTCGTTCCATCGCTTTGGCATACTGATCCATAGGGCTGTAAGGAAGTCTGTTCTCCACCGGATAGCGTGTACATAAAATTCTTGGGGGAATGGGCTGCAAGTTCTTCCTGGAGTCTACTGTTTCAGATTAGCAAGCTGCTTTAGTATCATTCAGAAGGAAGATTACGCGTTTTCGAAAGTGGTAATGCATAGTAGCAAAATTCACGCAATTCACCTCATCGACACTATTTACTAAAAACGCTCATACCGAAATTGGCCACGGTGTTGACAGAATGACTGGTTTTTTCAGCAAAATTCAGTTGCCAACGAGTCACCGACTTGCTCAAATTAGCTAGCTTCTTTGTGCAAATACCACGCAAATCTGTCAGCTATTAGGTAGGTCCGAAAGTTCGTGCCTTTTTTAAAGTTACTCCAAAATCGTTCAAACTAAAGACAGACAAATCGTTTTAACATTATCCGATGCAAAATTTCTTTCTCTTTTCAACAGCTATTTTTTCGAAGTGGCTATTTCAACGAGCGCTGAGATAATTGCCGAAAACTAAAACCCTTCATTTTTATATGTCTAACTTTCGCTAATTTTCAAAATTTTCGTTTTAGACTTTTGAGGGTTAATAACCATCTAATAAGGCTAACCCTTTTTAGATTAATGCAATTTTTGCATCCCTTTAGCATGCTTTCTGGAATTACTACAATATATTTTCTGGAGTGACCAAATTTTATATTTGGCTCATTCTAACCTCGCAAAACATAAGACACTGAACAGTTTAGGTACCTTTAGATGCAACTTTTTCTTCTCTTTCTATCAGCTACCTTTTCTTCGCGAAACATGCGACTTTTGCAGACAAAATCGCTGTATTTCCCAATTTCAAGGGTGCGCAAGGTTATATCGAAATTCCAAAATCGATCCATGTTCATGCCGTAATCACTCATTTACTTCGTAATACTACTGATAGTAATAACAGAGTCTAAGGACTTCAATATTTTGAAGATTTCACAGTGTTTGGTGCAACTATGTGTCACGCGGTTTTTTCGAAATTCAGTGCTCTAGTCAGGGCCTGGCACAGATCGTCTGGAAGCAGGCTGGACTTCGTTTTTGAAACAAACGACAAAGGGGATATCGTTTTTGACGTTTCGGGACCGAGCACCAAGAATAAGCGCCAGTTTAGTCGAACACAAGCTTTTCGGACAGGTTATCACACGATTGACATGCTCTATCGTGCATGGCAAAAAGTGCGCGCGATTTGAAAGCAGGGCTTGTATAAACAAATTGCTTGTTTATAGCGCACACAAAAGCATATGACACCAAAATCGAACTGTATGTATAGAAAATTATTTGCGAAAGGATTATCTAAAAGGATTTGAAAACTTATTTGAAGTAATACCTTTTCCGAAATTAGATCGTCTCCAGATGGCCACCGACGATCTGAGATCGTCTGGAGCATATATTTTTGTCACTTCACATAAGTTTCGGATCTTTTTAGCATGGACGGATTCCCCGGTCAAGAGTCTATCCCTGAGCATGATGACATTTTCATATCATTGCCTTTCCTTTCTTTTTTGCCTTCATTTCTTCTCGCTTTGTTAAATATCGCGCTCATGCCAAAGTCTTGTGCATGCGTAGTATTCAGCTCCAGCTTGGATTTTCACTCTTTTTACGTCTTTTCTTTCAGACTAGTAAATCTTTCTTGTTTTCATCTTCTCCTAAGCAGGTAGGTCAAAGGGGACTTCGTAAAAATTCCGAAATTCAAGGGAGACTTCGTTTTCAGAAACCCTGGAAGCCGACTCGTGCCGGGCCCTGGCTCTAGTAAAATGATTCAGCAAAATTCTGAAGAGGAAGCTGAACAAATGCAAAAAAATGGCGTTAATTTGGAAAAGGTTTGCCTTATTAGGTGGTTATTGAAGCAGCTTCAAAAATCTAAAACGAAAATTCTGAAAATTGGCGAAACTTAGACATGGTAAAAATGAAGGGTTCTAGTTTTCGGCAGTTACCTCAGCGCTCGTCGAAATAGCCACTTTGAGAACATAGCTGCTGGAAAGGAGAAGAGATTCTGCATCGGATACTGTTTGAATGATTTGTCTATCTTCATTTTGAACGATTTTAGAATAGGTCTAAAAACGGCACGAACTTTCGGACCCACCTAATATATTCAGTAACTATCCTCACGAGGTGATTACTTATTTGAAGACAGAATTCAAATTTCTTTTTTTGATGTTTTCACAATTTCGATTTGGCTACTTCAGAGAGCCGAGGATGCACTGTGTTACATCAATGGCCGGCCACACCCGAGGAAAATGCAGCCTTCCTCTTGCACTCGGAAAGCCTCTAACTTCCCTCAGTAACTGCATTATGGTATAAACAGGGCTTTTCTCTTCTTTGTTATATATGTGTGAGCATATGAGACCACAGATAATGGATTCCAAGGTAAAGCCAGTAATTGAATAGTTGTTTTCCCTACGTCTATTTTCGCATTAGAACACATCACAGATGATGCTATGACGGAGTAGTTAGAAGAATCTTTACTAGCAGCGTAATAGAACCCTGTGAGGCATATTGTTTTGAATGGAGTACGGTTTGAATCAGTTTGGCAGAACAGGGCAGTATCACGGTAGAAACTATTCGAACTTTCAGCGGTTATTTTTGCTGTTGAACTGTTCGAACATTTCTGCACAAGGAACAAACATTGTCATCATGTTTTATGGATGGAAAATGTAGTCTCAGAAAATGTAGACGAAAAGTCGCTTCGTCTCTGTGTAATTAATTAATTGTTGATTAACGGAATCAGTAGGACATGATGCATGTGGGCTCGCAGACTTTGAGAATTTCGCGTCACTTATTGGATGAATTTCTTGTAGAAACAGCACGCAAGCTTTCTGGAATATCCTAAGTTGCTTTTGGTTCAGTGTCTAGAATTTATTTGTGGAGCAACAAAGAGGAAGTTATCAAAATATTCATTTTTGCGACAGATTTCGAAACGAACCTGTTCAAGTAGGATGTTACGAAACAAGGCTTATATAACTATGTAGAGATTTCATGATGCCTCATTTACTAAACTATGCGCTTAGAAAATAGCATTTGGTGGAAACGAGTGCGAAAAGTTCATCTGGAATAGTCATCACAATGTGAGAATGAAGCGACGAATTGCGCATCGACTAGTCGCTGCAGAGTATTACCTTCGACAGCAAACAGTGAGTAAGACAGGAACTGTAAGTCGGTTTTTTGCTTCACTGTGAAGAACAACAAAAGAAAGTGGCCGTGAAGCTTTAGCATCACAACTCCAGCATGTAACCAGATAGGTTCTGTACACACTGATTCTGAGCAGCATAGATTTTGTCAATATCAAGGTTCGCATTCGGAATAGCAGACACTTACTTTTTGAAAGACAAAGCAATAGTTTTCCCGAAGATCGTCAACTGGATCGATGATCGGATCGTGTTCCACTATATAGTTGGGATTGTCGTCTTTTTGAGCTAATTGTGTTACTTCTTGCGGAATCCAGAAGTCGTACTACCATGCCAGAGGGTTCAGAGGGTTCACACCAAGGTGAAGATTAATTATTCCATATGAGTTTTGTAGGGCATTCACAAATTACCACAAAAGCGGCGGCTGCGTGAACTGCTTGAATCTCTGCCAGACTTTCTCAACTTCTGTCTTTATTTATACCACCTTTTTTGCCTTCACAAGCTACCATGGTATGCTGATCAATGGGACCTAAACTGTTCGGTCCAAGGTCTTGCGACCTATAGAGGGGTGCAATCGTCGAAGAACATAACAGCAGTCCGTTTGAGACAGCTTATACTGCTCCGTTGGTACCATCATCTTTGAACACTACTCAGAATTCGAGTTAACCGAGAATAGCAACGAACACAATGATATTAAAAAACATCACCAAACCTCCCATTGCTTCACTAGACACGTAAACCGGTGCTGCACATGACGCAGCACGGATCTTTAAGGGGTCTCTTGAAATCTGCAGTAAATCTTGTCATGCTCCAAAGATATTAAGTCAAAGTCCTAGGTCCGTACTTTCAAGAACTTTATTGAGCCACGCCGCAGCTATTCAGTTACGAGATACAATGACAAATCAAACAACGGTTTTAGCATAGTGCGGCCGCGCGGATGACTCCTGCGACGCCGCAAGTCTTATTTACTTTATTTAATAAAAGAAAAATAGTGTTTCTGATACCAATGGGTAGCGCGTGCGACGTAGGTGGATTTAGCTACCATTCGATACAGATTGTGAGATCTTGTTTCTATCTGCCAAGAAGACGCAGCGGTTCTCAGGTGACAAAATTCGAAGACTTTTCAATCGGAACTTTCGGTATGGGACTTATTTGACATGCTGATTACAGATATAGTGCTAATTTTCCGAAATGAGATCATTTTGTAGACTAACGAGCAAAAGTGCATCCTTTTTTTGCCGCACGCGATCCGAAACGTGTTAAGAAACTTTGAGCTCTTGGCAGCTCGCTGGACACTTCATTGCGGCGCTGTCAAAAGAGCCCTATTCCATGTTTATTTTATTCCTCCTATACAAAAGAAATGTTGCCGTGATTAAGGTCCATCGCGCTCGGAAATGCTCATTTTGCTCATTTTACGCGTTGTTGTGGCTGCAATTTCTAGCAACTGTGAGAGACGTTACAGTCTTTCTTCTTTAAACTGAACAAGTGAAGAAAAGCGTGATTTTTCCACAAGTAGTCGGGATTTAGTGGAAGGTTGTTGCATATTTCGGAAAGCAAATCATCTGTCTTTTGGATAAAAGACATTGCTTCTCGTGTATCACCTGCCGTAACCTCTTCCCACTTATGACATGGCGATTCATTTTACGGAGCAGTCATCTATGGATTTATAGCCTGTGTCACAACTTGAAATAATGAGCTACATGCATGAAAAGTAATGAACAGAGAGTATAAAAACACTATGCCCTGACTTGCTTCAATTTATTTTAGCTTTCAGCAAAGGTTTTGCTCCCTTTTCATTCTTAAGCAGTGTCTGTGCTGTAAAAGAAATAAGAATGAGTATTGCTGCATCATGAGAATGAGACATGACGACTGGGTTTGCTACTAGATCCCAAACATGTGCTTTATCAATGTTCGCAGTACGACGTTATCAATTTATCACAACATTTATTATCAAAAAACGTTCTCGACTGTCAGAGCGGCTCGGCACATAAATATCCACAAAGTCTGCTCGTCCTAGGCATCATATATAGAGCGTTTCCCGAGGGACTGCCCGGCCAGACTGTCAAAGTACCTAAGAGAAATTTTGTAATTGCAAAGATAATTCAATTTCACTCTTGTTAGAAACACAGAATAAAAACTGCGCCTGATGATTGCTGCGAGGAATGGGCCGTTTCCTAGTAGGCAAACCTTTTTTCAAAACGGAGATATGGTTGATATTCTCTTTTTCCAATAGAGTCCATGAAAGGATTAAGAGCCCGCTTGCCCATTGAGTCTAAGAACGGATTGATCGCCCTCTTTGCTCTCTGCAATGTCAGCAGTCGAAACTTAGAATTTCTTTGGTAGAGTTCGTAAGACTCACATTATCAGCATATGTTGTGAAGACCAAGGAGACGAGCATAAGCAATGATAGGAAAGCCGCCTTCAGCATCTCTGGCCGTTATTACTGGAAAATATTCTAAATTTGACAGAAGGAGGCTTCAGAAAGCGCACGGAAACGAACGAAACTCCTGGACTGATTTTAAGACGATCGACCTTCAAACAGAACAAGCACCGCCTGAGGAAATGGGTTTATTCTATGCTAACATGGTTCGAGTACGAGTTAGGGTATGAGACGTCAAGGTGGTGAAGATGGCGAATGATCCTAATGACGCGCATTCTTTCGTCGTATCTGCTGATAACTTGAACTCGAATGAGCTGCTGCTGACACTTACGCCCTGGTCTTACTGCGATAAATAAGATGCACGGATCGTTTATATGAGATATGATAGCTAATGAAGCATGCGCACTCGTTAGCATGGCTTTCAAATAATGTCAGCCACTAATCAAGTTCTGTAAATTGCAACTGCCGAGAACGTCAGTACAATCCACGAGATCTCGCAATGAATCGCAATGAATTGCGTTCTCTCTATATCGCAACGATGGATATGACATGTGAGCAATGAAGAAAGCCTTAAAATTGTATGAAAAGGAACAGAGCTCTCTCGAGGTAGTCTCGTATCAAGATGTTTTCAAGCTAAGCTACTGAATAGATACTGAGACGATCAGGATGTTTCCTTTCCAGGCTCCTGTTTTGGATTTCGTCTGACCGTTGAAAGCATGTATAGAGTTACGCTACTTACCCTTTATTGCTAGAGTCATGCTATCTTAAGTAGTTCTTCACTTGGTGCTCGATCTGAATTATGTTGGCAGTGATTCGTACTCGCAAATCAGATTGTGAAATATACGAAATGCAATCGTCATTAAGTAGCTCACCAAGGAAGTTACCAAAAATTCTGTCTTCAGCGTATAAATAAATCGAAACACTACACAGAACATCATTGTCGATTTTTAATAGATGGATTGGTTGAGAAGTACGGCCGTACAAGATTCATAGTTAAGAAAAGCTATCGCCACCTCCGCGACCAGAAGATGACACCTGAATACTGCTTTTACTTGGAATTCTCTAGCCGAAGTGGGAGGAGCGAAGCGTGTGCGAAAAGAAATAGCCTCGGAATATCAAAAGAAGCTTTTGGCTTTGTTCACTTGCAGGGTAAAACTACACAAGCCTAAAGTTTCGAAAGTGAAACCGGTCCAGATGGAATCGGAATTTTCTTAGCAATCACTTGCGCGGAAATAAATCTGTAACAATTAAAAGTGGTGAATGCACCTCCTGACTTAAAGATAGGTATTTGGTCATTTTCAAATGGTTTTTCGTTCCACTATTCATTGTTTCTCCACTCTCCAGGCTATTGGTGAATTACGATGATGTCTGCGTGGTCATGCTCCAATTAAACAAATTTACATATTTTGTCTTGCCAAAATTCAGAAAGCAATAAACATAGCTTGCAGACAGCATGTACTGGCACTAAAAACAAATGCGTGAAAGGGTCATCATAATAATAGTAGTTCAAGCTCTTGATGAGCAGAGATGGTAAATATTGTAATTTTATTATTAGAAATTTTTCTTTGTGGTTGACCTCTTATAGATCAATGGAAATAAAATAATGAAAATACGTCAAAAAGTTGAGTATGGAGCTTTGATTAATTTACAACATGTCGACTAGACGAGAGCGAACCTTTTCGAAGAAAACAACTGTCGTCACCGACCTCCAAGTGATACAGTAGTGTGCTTAAAACCGTTCCCACGCTTATCTGATCTAGAAACGCTTCTGCCATTAGCTCGCAACATGGCTAAATGTCATCCATTTCATCAAGCTCGCAATCGCGCTTAACCTTCTAATATTGTTGTGAGAACGGTATAGATGCTGCTCTTATCTAATCACATAGCATATAAACGTAGAACTAGATGATTCACAAGTATGAATTGCTATACCGCTCCAGTTGCACGCCTCAAGTTATCCCCTCGTCTCAAGTGCCGCAACATCACCTTATGAATAGTGTATATACTTGTACATAACAAGTATATCGTCTACACGTCTCTAGCTACAGAAGAATACCCGCGTGGCATCAGATCTCAAGTTACTCACATCTCAAGTAACCTTAGACACGCAATCGTACACAACAACCTTCTACTTCATTTCTCTCCACGTTCTCAGACACATACTAAAATAGGAACACAATTCTATCAAGAACATCTTGCTTTCCACGAAGCATAAGTTTTCTACGAGAATCACTGCACTTTTTCAGCTGTTTCAGCAACAAAAGTATTCCTACTGACTGTTAAATACCCCCCCCCCCCCCAAATGGCTGTTGTTGAGCTTACGAAGTTTTTCAGCTGGAAATCAGAGTGTCACGTAGATTTGGTAATGGACTATTATCGAGTAATTGGATATCATGCTTTACGTGTCGATCGGAACGAATGTCTTGTTGAAAAGCACGGTTAATCCCAAATTCAAAATATGAACGATAACGTCTGAACGTGGTTAGCAAGTACTAGAAGAATGAAAGTAGCGAGAGTTCAAAAAACGAAACCGAAGTGTAAGGTTCACTTCACCATTTCAGGGTGTGGATCCAGTTATAGTAAACAGGAAAGAAAAGAATTCGCCTCTCATGGCACCCAATGAAAGAGCATCTCCGTTAATGTATGAGGGGCACTATTCGACGAAGCAAACCTCTATAAAATAAACTCTTGACATTGGCATAACGCCTACGTTTAGCCATTATTCAAAGTATTCAACTACTCAAAATCCGGTCTCCCAAAAACCATTCTAGAACTCATAATTGGTCAGTGCGAAAACACGTGTACAACGATTCATTATATGCCTTTCTGTCATATTTTTTGGTCAGAAATCGAGGAAGATTGATGTCTGAAATTTTAAGACAATGCGTTTCCTCACATACGTAGATCATTAAAACTTTGGCAAGTACAATCATAAAGCACAGACCCGCGTTTGTCTTACTAAACAGTAAAATAGATTTAGCGCAAAAACCCACAAACGTGACAGTTTCATGTTTTCGATTCCATTTCGTTTCTTGAATTCTAGTTTGAAAGAAACTCAGTAGGTGCATCGGTTCTGTATTCTCAGTGCGGTTGACCTAATGGGAGATTTTCTCAGTGGGATTCCATTTTTGAAGAGACAAAATGTTTTAGATTAGTTTCAAACAAGGTAGATTATGAGCTATGGAAGTCCCCAATATTGGTCATAAAGAACTTGCTTTACCTTAAGAAACAGTGCCCTTCTTGCATGTTTTGGTGTTTACCCTGCCTTGGTAGCATAAAAAAGCGGCATTGTTTTCTTTTCAGCTTATGATGTGCTTGCGAAAGGACAGGTTGTGTGCTTTACCCGTGTTAAATGCAGCCCTTAAAAATGCCGATTGTATTCGATTACAAAATTTAGTAGTTTCAAAGTCACCTGGTCATAGCACAGATGGACAACACAAACCACACGCGGTTTTCTGTAAAAAACTACAGAGAAGCCAAAACTCAAAGTTTGCAAAATTTTATCGTTAGGAGATTCATTTTTACACAGATCCAGAAAGTCAATTTACGCAGAAAGAAGAATTATAAAGCCTGAAAAAATTTTACGCCGGCTTTGCGAAAGTTGATGGTTATCTACTCGCTCCGCAAAACCCGGTATGAAATATGAAAATCGAGCTTTTACAGATGTGAAAAACACATACTGCAGATGTCTGCAATCAAGTAGAAGCCTTCAAAGGTCCCAGGTGTCAAACCTGACTGAAAGAGGAAGCAATGCTGTACTGAAAGCCCTAGGCGTATTCTAGTTGCTTTTTTGCGAGATTTCGCGTCCACTCAAACTTGATGGAAAAAGCAAAAAACTTCTGGAGTGATTCAGTAAAATGTCAAGTAATACGAAAAATATTAAGCAAACACGTTCGCAGTTGACTTCCACTATCTGTTCGTGCGCAACCGTCGACACGCAGTTGTTACTACATCCTTGAAAATAAGCACTACTAAAGCAACTCCCCCCCCCCCCCCCTCCCACCGCCATCTCCGCGCTCTGCCTTTCGCTCTTTTCTCTTCTTTTCTCTTCTTTTTTCGTGCTTTATACCTTGTCTAATAAGATAATGCTTTTTGTTATTTGGTAATGTGATCGTCAGGCTGATCATAAGTGAGGACGCAAAAATTGCGAAGGAGAAGGTATACAAAAAGTCCGCAGCACCTTGTGCCATGTTATCTGTCTCATCAGCGAGAATAGTGCAGCTTCGAACTTTTTGAACAGAGCAGATTAGTAAATCAGGTTATATCTCCGAAGTTGTACAATATATAGTCGTGCATTTCTCCAACAGTTTCTCAACTCTATTGTAGTAATCGAATGATTTCGAGTTCACTTTTTCAGCTATGATTCTTTTGACTCACTGGTATTGGAGTGCGTTCATTACGTAACGCCAGCACGAGAGCAACACTAAAAGATGGGCGTTGCAAAACAGATAAATAAAGCAAATCCGGATATTTACGAGCTATCATATGCACAAATGCTGAGATGTAAGGCGAGATATACCATAGGAGTATAGAGCAAGGAAAACAAGTAAAGACGCTGAAACAAGATAGATAGAGCTTGGATAGAGCTTATAGGTTTTAAGAAAAGGTAGTTGTACAAGAAATAGAATAAGTTCTCACAGCTGACCTGCAAATCCCATTATGAGCATCTATAAGTCTGCGAGATTGGATTGGGAGAGAGCATAAGAACCCATGATTTCAAAGGAATAACAAAAGGCGGCTTGGAAAATTACTATCGCACCAGTGCACTTTGCGACTTCGTTCCATAAGCTACTGCTCATTCATTAGAGATTCATGTTGGGTGCGATCTTTATGAGGAGACTTTCCCCGCTTGCACTGATTCAGTTGATTTAAAGCTTGACTTAGTAGGTCAAACCTACAATGTCCCGTGTATGCATACATAGATGAACCAAAAGGTTGACTTAGAATTAAATGTTTTTATTCAAGCATCTTCACATTAATTGTTATCCAAAAGATCTCTCCTTCGACGCACGCACTATTTTGACTCCTTTCTTGCACTTCCTTATGCATGTCCGGGAATTTCCATCTAACGTTTCAAGAACCAAAGGGAGAATCTCACAACATTCGAGTGGTTTGATTTTTTGACTCATCATGTAAAAAAAAATTTGTGAAATGCACTCAATTCTGAGAGGAATCGATCCGCAAACGCCCAAAACTTGTTCGATGCTATAGTATTGAATCAGAGCACTTCAATTTGGTTGCCAAGTTTGCTCCTGCTTCCTGCTTGATCAAAATGAAAAGCTCAGAAGTAGGCGAACATGACCCACCGAAGATACGCCAAAATACCGCACATCGTACTATAGTCCTCAGGATTTCCTGCACTTGGAAAACTGGTACCTGTTGATGTCCTTCAGCTATTTGACAGATTTGCTCCCTCTTTTCTCACAAGGGGAGGACTCGAAATTAGCGGCTTCCCAAATGTAGTAAATACCATGTTGATGAGCATCAAACGCTGATTCCGAAACTGTTTGTTATCTATCGAGCGCTTCTAGAGCTTAGTTATGAGCGTTTTTAGGCTCAAAAAATGGAATGTGCAGTTGGAACAAATCCGTCCAAAATTGCTCATGGTCCAGCGCTGAATATCGGAGCACTTTGTGCGTGAAAAACCTTTTGTCCAATGTACTCGTACTCAACACTTCTTTATTTGAGCGCTGGAAGAACCATAACCAATGATTTCTATATTTTGCTATCACTTTTAGCTCCAAAAAAAAAACACTCACAACTCAGCGTTCAAAAGTGCTTGGCAAAAAACAAAGACATTCTTGGAATCAGGATTTCATGCGCTTCAGATTGATACATATTTCATTTGAAAAGCTGATTTCCACTTTGGGTCCCCCCCCCTCTGCCTCCTGGTCACCAGCGATTTTGTAAATCGTTTTATAAACCAATAAGCAGACGCATTGAAAAATTATTCTTGCGTTTCAAACTATCTTATTTGGTTCTTCAAGTCACCAGCATCAACAACGAAGCATTTAATAGTTGACACTGCTGAGAAAAATTGTTATTTTCTATTGCTCTATTCTAGCAAGAGTATCGGCTTTTATAGTAGAAGTGTGCAAAAGATGCATTGATTTTGCAGTACTTTGGGACCTACAGTTCCTTCCTCTTATGGTGAAACAGAATTTGTTGTCTTGTGATACAGTGTTGTTATAAGTAAGAGTTGATGCACATCGCAGCGATCTGCTTCCTTCCAATGTCGAGAAAAAATGTTTTGTTGATTTGACTATGACAGCCGGCCTTATCTACGCAGCAAGTGCCTTAACACATAGTGATGGAGCGAAAAACTCCTCTAGCCATTTTGCAACTATTGGAATTTCCTCGCACTATCTGTGTTCAAAAACATGCTTGCAGTAAAGCAATTTCTTAGCATTTTTTATAGATGCCCTTCTAGGCTGTGATGACCTCTCTAAATGTCTTGCTCTTCTGCTCTAATTGAATCAGTACGCTTCAATTCAAGCAATCATAGCAGCACGACTTCTAAGAGAGGCTCCTGCTTGAAAAACATAATTAATTGGCTCCGTTGGTGCTCACCTTCAGGAATACGGTAAATTAATTCCCCTCAAAACCATCTTATTTTGGAGTAAATGAAGTTGAACAGGAACTAAGACGTGAGATGTCCAAATCTCAGGTCGGTCAAGGAGATGAACAGTCCCATGTACATAATGCAAGTTTATTCAAAAGTAAATTTCTGTAATACACTAGCATCCTGGATTTATTTCTACTTAAAAATCTAAGATGATGACCCATACATCTTACTACTACATCACCACGACTACAGAACTTATTATTGGTATGAATTTTTTTAATCATCGGCCAAAAACTGCTGCTTCTGAGAAAGCGAAGAGGATGCTTTCGACCATGGCTTCCATCCAACAGGAGTTTCACCTCCTCCTCCACCAGCGCGTACAACCTGAATACAATATCTTAAAAATCTGCGAAAGCAGTCACGGAATTGAGAGATTAAGTGAGCTTCTCGCAAAGCACTCCTGAATTTCGCTACTTTTCAAATTTTCTCCTAGATAAAAACATCACATCATAAGAGATAGAAGTTCTCAACTTTTCGATCTGGGATAAGCAAACAACTAAGCTTTATGTACAATGCAAGATAAGTCAGCAGTAAGTTGTATGCTTCGTCAGTCAAAGATTGAAATAATTGGCCACAGGAATTGAACGTTATATACAAATGAGGCATCTACATTATGTATTTGTATACAGGGTGTCCGTAAAGTATGTATACACTGTTTGATCCTTAATATCTCTTTTCCCAAGAAGTCTTTTGCCTTGCTTTGGGAACCTTTTGTAGAGCTGGCTTCAACTTAGATTTGCAGTATAGAACGAGTTGCCCATCTCTCTTTATTACTGTAGGATTACGGTGGAAACTTGAAACACATGGTATCAATGTGGAAAAAGCTGTCGTTCCAAAATTTTTCAAAAAAAATGTGAAAACGTGTGTAGTAGGGTTTTTATGGACGATGAGTTCAGTACTCAACTATTCACAAGATTGCGAAGCCTTCTAAACGGTGTAATCGCACTTTTTAGGAATATTGAAAAAATGGCCGCTATCTTTTACCTGGCATAACTCTTCAATGAAGCATCATAATAAGTTGGAAACTTTACAGTTAGAATCAGCAGCTCTAATTAGCCTAGTGTAAAAGTTTCCAGGCTGTTTTATTTCATTTCTGACGCAAAATATGGCCTTTCATGGCTCAAAACCAGGGCCTGGCGGGAGTGGCGCTTTCACAAGCTGGATATCGTTTTCGGCCCGAAAAAGCAGAGGGGAAGTCAAATTTTGGGGGTCCGCTGCGGAGCCCCGGACCCCAAAATACGACTTCCCCTTTGTTTACCGATAAACAATGCACATATCATTCTTTATTCATCATTCCTTGTTGATGCTACTGTCCTATGAACTTAGATTCCAGCAATGTGAAGATTCTGTTCTCCGATCGCTAGCTTGCCCGCAGGTGGGAATTCAAATCGCAATTCTTGTGAGAGGAAAATAACAAAATAGGCTCGTTTTCAATGCACAAGTAACGATATGGCACCAAATTTGCTGTGTAGTTGGAGGACCATGAGCACAAAAAAAGTATGAAGAATTATGAAAAACTTATGTGAATTCAAAAAATGGTATGTGTTTTTCGAAATTAGGTGGCTCCCGCGTCACCTGGGAGCCACCTGGGGTGGCTCCCTGCTTCCCTTCACATAATTTCCCGGATTTCTTTACATAAATGTGGACTAGGTCGAGAGTATTACTATATGTTCAAATCCGCTTCCAAAACCACCAAGGCACCGCTTCGATACAGCCCTAAAGGTTCACAGCGTTATGATCGGCCTCGGAAAGCGCGCTCCAATCGCAATCGGTTATTGTAAATTGTAAAGTTTCGCAGCTGACTAATAAATGAGTAGTATCTTAGATATATAAACGTGAAAGTTTGTGCAAATCTTGCCCTATGTTTTTTTATAGATTCCTTGGCGGATGAACCCATTGAGCTGAAACCTTGATGACCCGGGCTGGACCAGGAAAGCCAGTACTACATAAGCGCTGAGGCCATCCATCTTATTATTTGTATATATCTGTTTGTCAGGGACTTACGGGGGTCAAAAGAGGGTCAAAGGGGAAGTCGTAAGAAATTTTGGCTTCAAAGAGGATATCGTTTTCAAAATTCTGAAATGCCACCTCCTGCCGGGCCCTGCTCAAAACCCTCGTTGAAGTTTCCACCGTAATCCTACAGTAATGAAGAGAGATGGGTGAATCGCTCCATACTGTAAATCTAAGTTGAAGCCAGCTTTAAAAAACGGTATCTGAAGCAAAGCAAAAGACTTCTTGGGAAAAGAGATATAAACGATCAAACAGTGCATACATACTTTACCGACACCCTGTATATGTAACATGGCAAAGCGAGCCCTCCCCTCTCCTGCGCACAGAGAATATGTCTTCACTTTCGGGGTGGTCTACACGACTCAGTAAATTGTGCGTTACAGCAAAAATTCCGAAATACTTCCGGAGATTCTTCGAAAGGCGTGGCGCGCCTCCTTGCGAAAAATTTCTGTCGCTCCCGCCTCCAAAAATTTTTCGAAACCGCCACTGATGTATGATTGTTCTCAATTTTTCTATCAGCTTCAAAACCTATGTGAACCTACATCAAAAAGCTCATGGGCACGCTAACAGCTTTAGTCACTCACTCCTCCCATCCGACCGCGTGGATTACGCATCGAAACGTGTCCTCTTGGTAGTGTAGGAGATCCAGAGTCCGAGACATTCCTGGAGCTAGTCGACCTCCACGTGGTACCGCCAGCAGACGAGTCGCTAAGTAAAAACGAGGTAAAAGTGATGTAAAGTTTGTTTAGTGCCTGAAAGTCTGATCAAAGCCAAGACTCTCTGTTTCAATGGGGAGATGCAAAATCAATGTGGAGATCTGCATCAACGCAAAGATCAAAATTTGTTAGGAAAAACCTACGACGAGTTGGGTGCAAAATGATGGTTGTAGGGGATTATAACAGGCCGCTCTTCTCTGCTATGTAGTGGTCTATGTCTGCTCTTACTTGTGGGACTGAAAGAATCGTTTTTATTTGAGTAGGCGTTGTCAAGCGGACGTTAGCTAGCGCAAGTTCCAAGTAAAGAGTGATTGCTTCAGATGACAAAGCTATAGAGCAAACAAAACTTTCCTGCGCGAGCGAGCTTTCTTCGCAGAATCATCGGGCCCGAGACTACTATTAACATTCGGAATCATATCCTTTGTGTCGTTACTACGCTTCCTTCTACTTTCTTCGGCAATTTGCCTTGGTGACGGCGGCGGCCTCTTTTCCTTCGGTCTCGTAGTATCATTTTCTGTCGTTGGAGCTGCACCTCCACCGTTGTAAGATTTCCTGTTGTCGCTATCTCGGCTCCGAGGTGCATCTCTTTTCAGCGGTTCAGTATTTTCGGTACATTTTGGAGGTGATGGAATTCTCCTCTGCTCGTTCGTCGCGTTATCCTGTTGGGGAGACCTGCACATATTTCCATCATTCACAGAGTTTCAAAGCTTCTTGCCCGCAAGTTGCAGTCGTAATAAAATGAGCCAAACCTTATCGTTGGCGCTGGTCCAGTCCTTTGCGATGGTGGTGGTGACCTAAACATATCAATGAGTTTTTGAATATTCGACTCAAGCGTTTTACCTGAAAGATCGAGAGGCACGAGCTGGTTTTTCTTTCACTGGGACATTTGACCTAACGGGTCCGCTATTGGGTTGTGGTCCCATTTCTTGTTCGTTCACGGCTTGCGGGGCTGATGCTCTCTTCGGTTCATCGCTATGGCTTCTTCTTGGTTTTGGATTTTGCATAAATACAAAAGGTCCGTTCACAATATCACCCTTCGGGAGTTCTGTTTTCGATTTGGGCTGACGCTCTGATTGTTTCTTTTGATTCGAGCTTTTCAATGAGCATCAGTATTCTCTTACCTGCACTATGCCATTGTTCTAGATGTAAGGATACATCATCTGCTGGGTCGTCCGCAGAGTAATCGTCAATTTCCACCAGAGGAGCATGCACGGTAGGAGCTTGTCTTACTTGTACCTATAAGGTCAAGGTACTATTCATCAACTTCCATCAGGCTGCACTTACCTTATCAGCTTTGACGGGTTTTTTCGCGCTGGACTCCTTTTCCAACGGCCATGGGTCGGTATTCACTCCTAAAGCAGTACTTGGTACAAATCGTTATTGACCAAGTATTAGGTCGTTCCGAAAGTAATGTCGCTTTTTTCAAATGTCCACCACATCTCGATGAACAAAGATATGTAAGAGATACCGGTAGCATTTGATGCATCATTTCATTCTCTTTCTAATGGTTATATAACCACTGCACAGAATTCAATAACTTCTTGAAGAATTATTAAAATCTGCTACCCATGCTTTTTGAGAAGGCCAAATTTCACAATTTTTCTAAATCTTTATAACAACCTTCGGAAGGAGTCCAAGTAATGGATGGATAGGGCAAACCCTACAGGAAACAGCACAACTTTTTTCTACTTTCCACAGCTCGTCAATTTTTTTATAGATTTTTTGTTGGAACCACTGAATTTTAGCAGGCTCGTCTCAGACACAAATGCATCAAACACCAGTAAATCTTCGGATTTTAAAACACACAAAGATGGATTATGGTTTGACACCAATTTTACAAAGCAAATGGGCGTTTACCGCTTCAGATTACCGTTTTTCGAAAATTCCTTGTACAGCCTGGGGCGCCCTGGAAAACCTGAATTATGATGGTTTTATCCCGGAAAACTTGAGGAAACGGAAAAAAGAAAAACTGCTAGAAAGAGGAGAAAAAGCTGCGTCGAACGACAACGAGTTGCTTGCTGTTTCTGGTTCTGTGAGGTTTGAGTTGATTAAATATGGAATTTGATAGCATCGAAAAATTGATTCCAGAAACTCTACGAAGTAAGCTAATTAGAAGAAAAAAATTAATTTGTGTCCTATAGGGTTTGCTCTATCTAACAGTCACTTGGATTTCTTCGGAGAGTAAGTACAAAAATTTAGAAAAATTGCCGAACTTGACCATGGCAAAAAGCAAGACTTGCAGATTTTGGTAACTTTACGAGAGCTCATTGACTACTATTATGCAATGAAATTACAACCGTTGAAAGAGATGAAATGCCGCATCAAATGCTCCTAAGATCTATTAAAAATCTCGATTCTACGGAGTGTGGCGTGCATTTGAAAAAAGCGACATTACTTTCGGAACGACCTAATATTACTAAATTTGACAATTTCGTTGCGTAAGATACTTAGGCCATAAGAGCATATGTACTTACGTTCTGTGACTCCTGACTTTATTATGACACAAAAAATTGAATGTGGCCTTCACGGGTTGACTAACGCTAATTTGGTAAGCTGTGGATACTAGATTCGGTAAGTTGATTGATCGAAAGTCTTTTGATGCAAAAAGGAATGCATATTCTTTCTTGTTTTGAATATGATAAGCTAACAAGTGGATGTTGAACTCAAACTTTCCCTTGCTCAATTTTTAGTTCAATGACCAGCAATTATCATTTTATTGACACTGTGTTTATCCATGAACAAATGGAAATTATTTATCCATGAATAAATGGATAAATAGGTTCAGTAATGAACAGGGTTTAGGGAGGCTAGTCAAGGCAGACATTCAGTTTATCGAAAAATGCTGTTAAATTTTTTGTATTAGGCTGTAGTATATAAATTTTGTAAGTACTTGTCTTGATCGAAATCAGAGCTGTCCTGCAAAACAAAACACGAGATCTCATGCCTTTCTTGGGACATCATAGTCACGCTAAATCATTCATAAAATCTGGAGGTGAACAAATTTATACTTTAGCTGTCTCACCAACATCCACTGTATCCGGCTTTGGTGGCGAAATAAATCTTATTTCTGGATCAGCTTTCTTGAGAGCTCTTTCTTCCGAATGGTGGACAGGAACCGGAACGAAAACTGCAAAAAAAGCCCGCTTCCTTGGTACTCATGCACATTGTAGCTATAGACAGACCAGGTTGAGTTACGGTAGCCGGAGGCGGCAGAATGCTGGACTGGTCGACATCGTAGCAACTGTTGCGCGGGAACGTCTCCTCTAAAACAAGAGTAATGACAGCTCGCACAAGAAAAATTACTTATTGTTAGACAAGCTCTATATTCGGGATCGTCTCCAAAGCAGGATGAGATAACACCAAACAATTACCTGAAATCTTCTTTACAAAAGTTGGCTTTGGTTTTGGAACTGGAGGATCTTTGACGGTTTCGTTCTTTACGAACTTCTCTTCTTTCTTCCTAGAATGGAAGGAATACAGATGAACACTGCTTGAACAGTCATCTGTCGTTTAACGACGCATGTGCTAACCTACTAATATTGTTGGCGGCGAGTTTGTGTTTGCATTTGCGGTATCAAAAATTTTTTTTCAAGGGTTGAGAACGCGTCGCAGCGACGTTTGCAGCTTAGGCTCCGGGCATACATACCTCATGCCATTTCATTCGCGACGCGACTTGGCAATACTCCAGTTGCTTATAACTCGCCGCAATCTCAATTTGAGCAGGCGGAAATCAGCACATTTTAGCGGCTCACAAAAGTTGAGTACAACAAACATTTGTGGTCTGCAAGTGTTGGTTTTGAAGAGATCTGGCAATGGCCAAATCGCATGGCACTGAAATCGCGAGAGGAGGCCCGGGGTCTTACGCATCCTCTGTGTTGTGGGCTGCGACTTCGTTCATTCTCAGTTTCAAGTACTTCCGCGTTTCACCAAGTGTAGGAACTATGGCGGAACTGCTTGGGTCTACAAGGCAGCTCCTGCTGAAGGGCTATCACGGAGCGTCACCGACCATATCTCAACGATACAGAAGAAACATTGTGCATCAATAAAATGTAAAGTAAGAACAACAACTTTCTTCTATACACCTAAATAATCACCGCCCGTTCTGGTCCGCAATTCGGGGTGCCCAGGTTGGTGCTCAGGAGCGGTATTTATCAAACTCCTATATGGAAAGGGGTTCCTATGCAGGCAACAGCCCGCACAAGCCCGGGCACTGGCGCCCGCGATATATGAAGCCAAGCTGGTGACCGGTCTCCTGTCTATTGAAGAACATGGTCCAATCTGGCAAGTTCGGCCATGTCGGGCACGGCAGTCGGGCAGCAGTTCCCCATCTGTCGGGCGGCGCTGCCCGTTTGGGCCGCGCTTCCCGGACTTTCATAAATTGCAGGATGGGCGCTCTCGCCTGTGCGGGTTCTCGTTAACAATGGTACGCACAGCGAGTGGGAGATTGATAATTACCGCCCCAGGTTTGTCAAGAGGAGGTTCAAGATATGCGGACGTTGAAGTACCCTGAAATCTGACATCATAGATCGATTTTTTAACCCAAATAAGCCTAATTTCAGTTACTGCCGTCCTACGCATACGTCCTTCTTTTCCGTTATAACTATCCTAAAATCTCGGCGGGGGGGGGGGGGGGGGGGGAGGAGCCTATATGTCAGGTTTTAGGGTAATCTAAAAAGAGGAACGGTGGAAATGACAATAACCCCTTCGAACCCGTCTCTTCAAGTTCCGCCGCAGCCCCGACGCCGCGTTGGACCTGCCATCTCAGACGAATCTGGCAAAGCTGCCGAGGGCCCAATTGACCATTGAGAGCGGGGCGAGAGGGCGGTCCCTTTCTGTGACGTCACGGTGACGTCACAAGAAGGCAGATGGGAGGCAGGCTTGCAAATCTCTGCTCCGGAGGTACGCCAGATTTGGGACACCTCCGGAGCACAAAATGGGAGGGCTCCAGAGCACAAGTGGAAGGTCTCCGGAGCACAAAATAGGAGGGCTCCGGAGCACGAATGGCAAACCCTCGCTGGGAAAACCCCGCGGCTCTGCCATTTCTGCCCCGGAGGTATGCCGTCGACTGTCTGAGATTGAGTGTAACTCAGCTTAAAAACTCGTTTGCACATATCGAATTCGAATCAGATTTGCATCAAAGAACAATTTTCGAATTGGAGCCATAGTCGGCTGCGGCCATTTCTGCTTCCCTCTTCTTTTTATTCAGTTGTGCTCCTGAATATGCCTTTCTCATCTAGCTGTGATCAATTCTAGTTGAAATTACTATAAAACCTAGTCTGCTAGGAAAGGGATGCAAAAGAAATGGTAGGGTTGGACATAGAAACTTCGTCAAATCCGACCCAAATCTTGTCCATATGAGAAAACAGGAAAGCACCAGAAAATTTAAGTTGACAAAACCTTTTCACTTGACACGGATCGATGCAGAGTTTGCAACAACAGTGGAGAAGGCATATCAATAGGAAAAGTGCTAGTAACAGAGCAGCGAGAAGCAGCAATGCACGCCAATCTGTGCACCATCCAAAGATGCTCCATTCGTGTTCACCACAGCCTAAAAAAGTCTTTGTTAAGAACGTCGTTGATAGAAAACTTTCGTAACACCTTGCTTAGTACACTTCGCTGGTTCTTCCACCGGTACTACAGCACCGGATGGTGTAGTTGTAATGTTGAGAGAAGTGGTATTCAGTGAGATTCTCGGCGTGCTGCTCGTAGTTGATGCTGTAGAATTGGTTGAGTTTGTAGCACTATCCCAAATCGGTTTCGCAGATGTGTTAGTGATGTTTCCTGATTTTGTGGGAATGGTTAAACTCGATGTGTTGGTCACCATATTAGCAGAAGTCGTTGAGGTGGAGGTTGTGCTTGTGCTGGTGCCAGTCGTAGTGTTGGTAGTATTAGTCAAAACATTCTCTTGCTCTGGTTTGGTAGTCGTTGTCGTGCTAGAAGTGTTCGCTGATGTGGTGAGATTAGCTGCGTAAATTTTCGTCGTGGTCGGTAAAGTAGAATCCGTCTTTGTGCTGGTGTTGCTTGGTGTAGAACTAATTTATTACATACATCACCTTTTTTATTTGTTTATTAAAACTGACAATGTAATAGCTGTCGTGGAAGACGTGGATGTCGTCGTCGTGGTTGTTGTGCAGGTGATGACAGTATTACAGTAATCCGCTTTCTCCATCGCTTAACGCAAAACTTACAAACTCGAAAGACATTCGTTTCCAACAAAGAGACTGCAAAACAAACGTCGGTCGCAAAGAGCATGCGCATCAAGCGTACAAGAAGCAAAAGTTAGCTTTTCGCTTTGCGTAGTGAAATATGCGCATGTGTCTGTGCTAGTTGCTTCCTAAAATATTAATCCTGAACAATACAGAACTAATAAACATTTGCAGAACCTGGTAAAATGTTGTGTTCTTCGGGAGTAAGCCATAGAATTTGTTGTTGGGGCAAACCATCGCGTAAAGATTTGCTTCAGCGCTTCCTGCTACAATTCCTGTTAGCACCGGTTTTGTGTAGCTCTAAAAACAGTTTCTAAGTCATTTCACATTTCATATGGATTAGTTGTCAGATTCTATGGATATAATATCACTGAATTGAAGACGGTTGTGGCAGCTATTGGCAATAATCTTGTCTATGCAACACATGCAATACTCCACCTATCATATGCTTGCGAACTGAAATATTTTGATTTTGCTTGTTTATTTCGTAAGACATTTTCTTTGACTCGAAAAGATTTCCCAAGTCGTGAAGATGACCGACGTCTAAGATTAGCAGACAGGCTTTTGAATGCATGTGCAACATTATAAAATTTCGAATTTATTTGCTTCAAAAGCCAAGTTCGAAACACTCTTTTGCATGTAACGTATGTTAGTCATTTGTGTAGAAACAGACACCATGGCCTTCTTAGCTCAACATACCGCCACATTATGAACGGTTAAGCGTGAAATCAGGCCAACCTCCTTCATAAACGCTCTTTGACGCTAAGCTGATTGAAAATGGAAACTTGAGCTGCACTTTTCACACAGGGCTGTGGGAGATTCGCTCCCCAAGCATGCACCGGAACTTCTGGTCAATCGTCTTGGTTCTTCCTCGCATTGCCTTTCAAAGCTCAAGGTGTTACATTTGGAGACAAAACCTGTGTTAAGGAATCTTATGATTTTTTAATGCCCCATTGTAGCACAATGGGGACGAGTGGCGTAGTGGTATGAGGCGCCGCTATGACCAGATCGGACCAGGGCGCGGCACGAGTCGGTTCTTCCTCGCCTAAATTTTTTAGGGTTTCTGAAAACGAAGTCTCCCTTGACTTTCGGAAGTTTTACGAAGTCTTCTTTGACCTACCTGCTTAGGAGAAGAGGAAAACAAGAAAGATTTACTAGTCTGAAAAAAAAGCGTAAGATAGGAGTGAAAATCCAATGGAGCTGAATACTACGCATGCATAAGACTTTGGCATTAGAGCGCGATATTCAACAATGCGAGAAGAAATGAAATGAAGGCAAAAAACAAAGGAAAGGATGAAGATGTCTTCATGCTCAGGGATAGATTTTTGACCGAGAAATCCGTCCATGCTAAAAAGATCCGAAACTTATGTGAAATGACGAAAATATATGCTCCAGACGATCTCAGATCGTCGGTGGCCATCTGGAGACGATCTAATTTCGGAAAAGGTATTACTTCAAATAAGTTTTCAAATCTTTTTACATAATACTTTCGCATTGTCTATACATATAATTGTCTATACATACAGTTCAATTTTGGTATCAAACGCTTCTGTGTGAGCTGTAAACAAGCAATTTGTTTATTTAAGCCTTACTTTCAAATCGCGCGCACTTTTCGCCATGCACGATAGAGCATGTCAATCGTGTGATAACCTGCCCGAAAAGCTTGTGTTCGACTAAAGGCGCTTATTCTTGGTGCTCGCTTCCGACTCGTCAAAAACGATATCCCCTTTGCTGTTTGCTTCAAAAACGAAGTCCAGCCTGCTTCCAGACGATCTGTGCCGGGCCGATCGGACCAAACTTTGATCTTGTTCCTAAGTCAGCCAATCCCTCTATCCTCTGGACACGGTAAATTGGTTCAAGAGTTCAGGGACTATGAAAGGAATGATTTGGTAATTGGCTGACCATCGCAAGTCATTGTAGAAGGCTTGCACACTCAGAAGCCTCTTCGACTATGAAGTGGAACGCGTCTGACGCATGTCCGCAGAGGGTATTGAAGATGTCAAATCTTTCATTCTCTATCCTTTGTCTAGCAGAATTTTTTGTGATTCTACTAAGGGTCTTTTTTAGTTGCTAGCATGCTGGCGGTTGGGAGTCACGACCAGGTAAGGTTAGTGTTCTAGATAATTCTCACGTGGGTCGATAATACTTGACAAGGCGCATACGGCATGCCGTTTGCATCACAGAAGACCAACAACAAGTATGCTTTCTTCATGGTGATACTATCGGAAATGGCTTCCGCAAAAGCTACGCTTACACTGTAGTGAGTGGAATTTTCTGGCCTCTCCTAGATTGATGATACTAGTAACCAAACCTTGTAAGCGCATTTCACTAACCGATCGTACGTAGCGATAGACGGTGTCCGACATTGTGCCTTGTGGATGACCAAGATGTCCTCCGATTGTCTGGCACGCAAGATCTGCATCCACCCATGTCGATGCTTCACGGGTTACGACCTCCCAGCAGTGTTTTTGATCACTTTCCTCGACTACCACACCATTACAGGGACAAGTCGCATGGGTACCTGGATTTATGAAGTACTTGATAATCACTACCTCTAAGCCTTTTTATTGCCACAGAGAAAAGCAGGTAACGGGAGTGCTTCTGAGTCTCAGGGCTCGGCACAGGTGGCTTGGTAAGCAAGCTTGATATCGTTTTTGGAATGAAAAGCAAATGGGGTTTCGTTCTTGTGGCCGAAAAGACACGAAATTTGCGACGTTTTTTTGGTCGACGTTTCTTATTTGTGGGAATTTTTAGAATTAAGGTTTAGGGTCAAAGGGGACTTCGTAAAACTTGTGGAAAGTCAAAAGGAACTTCGTCTTTGCATTTTTCAAAACCACCGTGCCGAGCCCTGGCTCTGCATGATATGACTCCTTATAGATTACCACTTCCCATTATTACAAACAGTATAACATTTGCAGTACAGTGTATAGCCAATGTACCTTAATGACTTCAGTTTTTGCAGAATTTGGCGGGAAAAAATGCTAGAATACCTAAGTTGCTCAGAGTGAACTGGTAGGTCCTGATAATTACTGGATTTTCTCTTTCAAAGAAACAGTAATCGGGGTATGATTATTCAAGCAGCCTTTTCTGTGTGATGATTGTGGCACAATCGAAATGCTTGGAGCTAAGCAGATTTTCCATTTTATTCTATTTCATTTTCTATTTTCTATTTTTCTATTCTATACATGATAACATCATACAGCGCACTTTCAAAACTCTTCGGAAACCAAAGGGTGAGGAATTGATACACACTTCCTAGTATATTTGAAGCTCCATCAATGGCAACAATAAGGCAAGTTTTCGAGAGCCAAAAGCCATTCAAGGAAAAGGGATGAGCAGATCCATACCAGTGTGGGTCTTGGCTGTGTAAAATGTATCACATGTATTTACAACGGTCATTGCGAATTAGGCAAATTCAACGACCGTTGTAAATACAGAATATAATACATATGTAAATGATATATATAAATATACATATATGTATTTGATACTTCTTCTTCCACATAAAAGAAGAAAGAAACAGTTTATCTCAAAAGTCATTCAGCAATTTTTGAAGCGATACCATAGTTAATTCCGCATCACAAACAATGTAGTCGTATACCACTGGCACGAAAAATTTACTAGGGGTCGCGACAAATATTTGCGAGTGAAAGGACGTAACATTAGCCTAATCGGGGAGCAGGGCTCGGTCCCCCCCTGTAACATACTCTGTTTAAAGGATTCTTGATCAGCTTTGATGAGTTACAGTTCCCTTTATAGTGCAAAAATGACAGGAGTAATACTCATCCAGAATGAATCAAAAGTTGGTTGAGAAAGAGCATGGACAGATCAAAAGACAGAGTGTTAGAGTTTCTACACATATCAACACAACGCGCTTCAAGCCCATATTAGCGCTAACTTTGCTCAAAGCTTGTTGTGGAAAACGAAATGATCTCCAAACGAAAATTCACAGACCACATGCTCAACCGTAGGATAAAAACACAGTTAGCACCGCTCATTTTACAATAATCAAGTAAGTATTTTCCGCGCAATTCATACATGTGCATTTATACAAACTAACCAACAGAAATTTGGAAGAACAGCAGCACAGCTAGGCGCATTGTCATTATGACACGTAGAAACCGAAGCAGACCTTTCATGTCTCTATGCAACCGGATGAATTATATTCTTCAAAAAAGAATATGACGAGTAATTGTTGGTTTTCACGAGCGTTTAAAGAAGCTTCTTTGTAAAATCTTTGCCAACTCTACAATGCACAAACAGTCTTTTTCCTTGACAGCAGAATTCTTGCTCATTCAAACACCACAAGCGTTGAGATGTATTGTACAATCAAATGCGCTTGTTCGTGGAGCCAGCACTTTTGATGCTACTTCGATTTCTATCGAGGACTTCCAATGAAAACTATGCGGGCTCTAGATATCGCCCACTTCAGATGGACCAAACGGCGGCAGCTGAACGGAGTTGTGCAGCTAGCTCCTGCTCAATATTTCGTGATTCCTCATTCGTTAGTGTTCTGCCGCCCCACCAGTTTTGGTGTCATTTTATGTTGTTTTTGTGAACCGTTCACCAGCAGCAAGAAACATTAGGTTGTCCTATAGGTTTTTTTTCATATTCGAACCTTCAATTTGACATTTCTCAGGAACGAGGGCTCCACTGGCTGGCTGCAAATTTGTGACAGTACCTTTGAGTGGATAAGCTATATAAACACATATTTGCGAGGAACACAGAACCGCTACGGGGAGCCATTGGAAAAATGCAGCAAATGTATGTAAATATCTCATAGGGAGAGTATATGCGCATACGAGTGGGAAAATCGCAAAAGTGTTCTAAACTGTGATTTGATTTATTTTCGTTTCTCGGAAATCCGAAACTTTTTTATTTTGGCTTGAAACTCGATGCGGAGCAAGCTTGTTGCTAACTTTTGAACGTCATCTGGTAGAGCTGTCTTTGATCTGTCAAATGGTACCCTGCTTTTTGTTAGAGATTTAAGAAGAACTTTCTGACGTCGGTGAAAATTAAGATCCATCGCAACTCAGTTCGGTCTCCCCCTCACGAGTTCGTGAATGTCAAACTTTGAATGTTTCTTTTTTCTTTTTGAGAAAATGCGCCGAGGGCTGTATGGAAGGTATGGGCGATACAACGCATCACGGATTGAACGAAGATGCGTCTAACTAATATAGTTCTTGCATGGTAGAGACAGCAGACGACAAGAGGGATGAAAGAGCGCTAGATCAGCAAGACTCCGACAATGTCGACAGAGACGCCCCGTCTTGGCGCGTAATGAATCGCCTATGCTTGAAAGGGCAGGGGCGTAGAGCACTGCGGGACACAGACTATATGTACTTTTGAAATGTATTTGATAAATCTCCTTTTTACCTCCCTCCGCCTATCCTCCCAAACTAATTCCTTTGGCTTTCTCCCTACCGCCAAGCTTTGGATGTGGCAATCACTCGTCTTCGAAGATCGATTCCTTGGCGAAGAAACTATCTAGAGTAATATCAGGCTGTGCAGATGTTTTCATTTGCAAGTAATCTAGAAATTTTAATAAAAAGATTTTTAGTCAAGTGTGCGAATAAACAGCCTTCTCTTGCAATTTGGGCTAAAGCCTGAAGCAACTTTACAGTCCCAAAGAAAATTTTCGGAAAGTGTGGCTAACGCTACGCCCTTTATTTGAAGAGAAGTGTCACGGTTTCCAAAAAAATTCTCGCACCATTTGCAAAGCACCAATTTGCTCACATCTGACACCAAAGAACTGAATGAGATCTAAATCACTTCTTATGCGGCGATAAAAAAAACTGTCGCTCTACAAAAACATACCATTATGAACTCCTGAGAATTTTTTCTCCCTTAGCATAAAACTACCGTCCCTGCACCTTTTTATAACTCATTCGATTTTCAACCTCTCCATGACCAAACTAACCTCTAGAAAAAGAGCTTAATGTGTATAGAAAATCCTAATGTCGTTGAAACTGTGTTAATGATATGCATCAACAGCAGAACGCTGTAGAGGATTATTAGGAAAAGCAAGCAGGAGTCGAATGTTCCAGGATTCGCAGATAACCGAGAGTGAAGATGCGAACACTTTATTCGCTTCTCGAGACTTCTAAACCAGTGGAGTGAAGCATCTCAACTACTAATAAAAGGCAGATATTTGACTAGCAAGAAATCGTCATTCACGAAATGCGAGAGAGTAGTTCTTCCACTTGGAAACAAGATAGTACAATTATCAGCAAAGTTGCCATAAAAAGCGGAACATTTATTTGCAACTTCAGTCATGGATTTAGCTCCCATAACTGATGATATCACATAAAGCCGATAAAAACTACGCGCTATTTGCACATTTCAAGATATGATATATACAGTACACTATAAGAACACAATTATTATGGAACATCTACAAGCTTTCTATGAGACCTTTCGCGGGATAAAGCAATCCACCGGATTTAAAAAAAAGAAACGGAAATTGCTGGTTTAGCTATAATTAAGGAACAAAATAATACCCGAGAATCTTCAAACTCGAAATCAGATTTGCTGCATCTTGTCTGAATTTCAAATCTGCAAAATTCGACAAATCCGTAGGATTTGGGCCGCGCTGGCAGTAGAGTCAAGAATGATCTAGATGAAAACACAAATTCCACTGCCAGTACGTTTGACATTCTTGTGCAGCTTTGAAAGCTATCTTGGAGAAAAAATTTCTTTAGCTAATTCAGCTATTAAATTCCATGCGCACAGAAAGTTGCAGCAAACCGAATATCCGATTTTCAAGAATACTTTAAGATATGACATCGTGATACTCATACAATTTTCTTTCTCAAAATGACTCGTCCACTCTCTAAGTCGTCCATGGTAGCCAACACTTGTCGGGTATCTCCTGTACAGATGACAACTACTTCAAAAATCACAATACGATCTATGCAACCAACCGGGTACAGTCGATCTAAACTGGATATACTGTTCACAGATGGACAGTATCATACCCGCAAAAGCGCCATAGTTCTCTGTCTGGACAACCAGCGCTTGTCCTCGTTGATATCTGCAAAAATTTTCAGACTGGAGGTTATAATAGAATAATAGTGGATCAATATGGGATTTCAACTTACGTTTTGCCTTCGTAGATTAGTTTGCCATTATCCAAACTGACTTTATGATGCTGAACTACACTGGGTATACTCTCAGCAGGAACCAGCTGAAAACGGTGCGATCAACATGACGTCTAATGTAAGCACTGATGGTCATAGGAAGTCTCAACTTAAAATACACACCAATCGAACATCTTCTGCAATTATGTGCTCGGGAAGCAGATGAATGATGACAGGAGCAGTAGTACGAGCTTTCTTTTTCTCAGTGGATGTAGGCGTGTCGTGTGGTCGTCTGGAAAAGGAAAAAGGTGATTTTCAGTGAACTACGACGGCTTACTTTCCATACTGGTCACATTGCTCACCGTCGTAAACACTTTTTGTTCATGCTAAAGGTTGGACAAGCAGGTCCGGCAACATCTAATACTGCTACTTCGGCCTCTATGAACCTGATGCGGTCATCAACTTCCAGCAGGAGAGCCTAAATACAGAGACCCTTAAATGGCTAGATTATATTCACGGCACTCCAACCTGAACTAGGTCGTCTTCCCTTTCCTTCAATTCTCTCTGAATTGCAGCATGTTCCAAGCGGAACTTTCTTTCGATCTCTTCTTTTTCTCTCTAATAGGGTCTAATTTTGAGATTGCGGTCGGATTTCTCGACAGAAAGTGTACCTCATACATGATATCAATCATTTCGATCTCATCCGCTTGTTTTTGTCGGAACTCGCGCAGCTTTTCAAGATATTTGGGATGCCTGCCGGATTCGACTAGCTGCAGTTCTTCCTGTAGCTCGGCTATACGTTGTTCCCTGCAAATTGAATAGATCACAGAAAATCATACAGGATGTGACGGTAAAGCCCTGCGCAGTACGATCACACCAAAATCGGCACTGGCGTTCTGGGTAGCATGTAGAGACCATATTGCATTTGTCTTTGCCTTTACTTCTGTATCGAGCAAGCTGCGTTTTTTTCCACTATGCATAGCCTTACTTTATGTTACTTACATCCAATTCCTTATGCATGGACGCGTATCCTCATCGCTCCATCATGTCGGCTGGTTTTTGTTCTTAAAAAAAATTTTAGAAGCTACCTCTTTGGATTTCTCAATTGTCCCAAAAGTAAGCTTCTTTTTCAGATAAACCAAGCCGCTTTCTTTTTCCGACAGAATAAGCAAGCTCTACAAAATGACAGCCAGAGATTCGCCCGAGTCGTAATCAGGCATAATTTGAAATTAAGAATCAAATGTTTTCAGCTACCTTACAAAGGGTAGTTCACTTTCCAGAAAATCCCTAAGGACCTCCAACTTGGTCAATACAGTAGACACATAGTAGTACCCAAAATGTATTTGATGGATTTCTTCCGGGGCTCAAAACTGAGAAAAGAAACAAAAACCAAGCAAAAGAAAAACAAAATAGACCGAAAAAAATCACTTTCTCGGTTTTGTTTATGTTAAGCTTGGTGTTTCTTGATTATCAACCAGGGCGCATACGGAAGTAAAATATTGAGGTTATAAGTAAGTAAGTTGAGTGCTCTTACAAACACATTACTTACTGACATAAACTATTGAGGTTATACCTACAAAGGCTAGTATCGTGAAATGGCACATGTGGAAGGGGCTGGGGGTGGAGTTTGCCATTTTTCGACTATCTTTTTTCTCTCGGTCCCTTGCGTGAAAAAAATTCGGTGAAGGCATGTTTGAGTACCTATGTGTCTAATCGTAGGATTTCCCAAAAAACTTTCTGGCGACAAAATTTTTTCGATTTTGGCTCTAAACTTTACCTAGATGACGAGTTAGGCGGATCTTTGGCGGACGTTGTAACGCATGTTTTGCACTGTCGAATGATATTCTAAGCCTGCTAGGAAACCAGCCTTGATTAATTCAGAGGAATCTGCTTTTGAGACAACCCGATGTATAGCACTACAGCACAATGCCAAGCGGCCAGCAGGCGCAATTGGTGTGATCGCACCATGCGGCTCTTGTCATGGAAAAGCACTCGTTACGACAATGTATTCAGTCAAACTAGGTAAAAAAAACTGTAATATACAACTTTACCCGAAAAACCCACGTGGACACCGCATATTTGGGAAGCTGAGTGATGTTTGCAGATCCAAAGTTCCCTAAAACAGTCGCGCTGACAATGGTCGGATATAAGATTTTTTGAGAATTCTGCTAGAACATTACCCAAGGAATTACTTGGTATGCTGTGAACGGACATCGTGATGATTTCACAAGTTACCAGTTAGGATGGGGTACGGTAGCAGGGTCACAATTGCAATCTGCTCAAACTTTATCTAACTGGCCATATATCACGTCATTCCGAAAGTAATTTCGCTTTTTTCAAAGGGACTTCACATCTGACGGAACGAAGTTTTCTGAGAGATCTTGGTAGCATTCGATGCAGAATTTCATCCTTTTTCTGATGGTCATAAAAGCGTTGCAGAACAATCAATAAGCTCTAAGAAAATTACCAATATCTGCGACCCATGCTTTTTGAGATGATCAAGTTTCACAATTTTTCTAAATTTATACATCAATCCTTCGAAGATTCAAGCGACGGTTTGATAGAGCAAACCCTATAGGATACAAAACGAGTTTTTTCTCCTTTCCATAACTCGTCGTATTTTTTAAATAGAATTTTGATTGATGCTACCAATTTCCATACATGGTCAACTTAAATCTCGCAGAACATCAAACGGTGGACAGCTCGGGAATCATTCGATACAGCTTTTCTTCCTCTTTCTAATAGGTTTTTTTTGTTTCCGCTTCGTGTTTTCGGGGATAAAATCATCATAATTTACATTTTTGAACGCGTACCGGGCTGTGCCCGGAAAATTCGAAATTGGATATTTCGAATTCGTAAATCCTCATTCGCGTTGTAAAATTAGTGCTAAACCATAGCACTATCTTGGAAGTTTCAGATTCCGAAGATTTATTGGTGTCTGACGCGAATGTGGCCGACGTAGGCCTTCCAAAATCGAGTGTTTTAGTGAGAAATCTTTTAGAAAATTCCGGCGAGACGTGGGAACGAGAAAAAAGTCGCCGCGTATCCTCTGAGGTTTGCTCTATCGAACCATTATCTGGCTTCTTCCGGAGGATTGATATAAAAGTTTAGAAAAATTGTGAAACTTGACATCTCAAAAAGCATGGGTCGCAGATATTGGTAATTTTCCTAGAGCTCATTAATTGTTCTGCAACTCTTTTAGAACCATTAGAAAGAGGATGAAATTCTGCATCGAATGCTACCAAGATCTCTCAGGAAACTTCGTTCCGTCAGATGTGAAGTCCCTTTGAAAAAAGCGAAAATACTTTCGGAATGACCTAATATAATGAGGTGCATATTGATAAGTGCGACTTTTGATGCTAGTTAAAACTGTTTTCCATATGTGTGAAACGATAACCTTCCTAGAGTTATGACTATTTTTTCAATAAATTGCACTACTGCGGTTTCCCAAAATCATCGATACAATTTTTACCATTGACGGCTAAGTATGAGTCTAAATACAACAGAACTTGGCAAAGATCTTCTTTAGCAGCATCAAAAAGGTAAACTGGTGATTTCAAATATCGAAAACCATGCCAGTTCTCCTGGAATAAACGTTCATGACTTGGTTCAGAAAATCGTTTCGCAGACACGGAGAACGAATTATTAGGATTTCGGGGAGCACCTTATGGTATACGTCGCACTCCAAGTAGCCGCGGTTACCAAGAGTTTTTTTCCTTGTAAGGAGGTGACATGCTATTTACGACTCTGATACATCAGTGTGTAGGAAACCCCTTTTTGCGGTTAGGTATGGAATTTGAGAAAATTTTCGAGTACTGCCGATGCTCAGTGACCCCACAAAACCAAATTTGGCGTAAGTCCGGGATTTAACCGACCTAGCGCGTATTTACCGTATTCCTGAAAGATGACGGTTTGTGCGAAATCATTACAATATTCGAGAGCAGCGTGAATAAGCAGCCTGAGCAAAGCTTTAGCGACTTATTAATCATTGCAGTTTTTAGCTTTTAGTAATCTCAAACGGGGCTAAGGATTTTCTTGCTAGCTTTGAGGAAACACCGTTTGTTTTTTATTGCAGCTATTAGGTTGATGCACAATTCTTGCACCAAAAGATAGAGAAAACTCGATTAGAAAAATGTTATACAAGCTAATCAGTTGATCTATATGCTCTTTGTTACGTATTATACATCAAGAGTAGTGTTTTATGATACATTTTGGAGAATCAATTTGAAACAAAATCAATAAGTCAAATTCAAAAAATTGAAATTCACTATTTGTAAAGACATCCAATCACTATCAATTTTTTTTGTCAGAAAGAATAGGTCATAAAACAAAACCAAAAATGAACGTTCTAGCAATTTCAGCAACCAAAATACAAAAAGCTTTTTTTTTTGAGTAATCCTTTTGATCAGCTCGTACAATCCCTATTCTCATAAAGAATTCCGACCTAAGCACTTTCGAAAAGCGCAAGATTTCCTCTCTCTACTGAGTAACAAACCAAAAGATTTTAATGAAGCGGGAGAAAGTGATGAATTTCAAAATATTGGTGCAAGAATTACGTATCAACCTACATAATAGAGATAGTATTGAGAATTTCGACTTTACACAAATGGCATGAACTATTGAACAGCGATGCAAACCGATGCAGTGATTCGTAATAAGGTAGCTATCGTGGTACTGCTAGGTATCAAGAAGGAAAGGCACATTTTAACTGCAGGAGTTAAGCACACCTACCGCCGACTGGCGTTGGCAAATTGCGTACTAAGGCGCCTTTTGTTGGTGAAGCGGGTGGACTGAAGAAGAGACAATATAGAGACGCTGAAGCACTTGTAGGATAGAGTTTTACCTCTGTATCTTTAAAGACTTAGTGTCTTCAATAGCATTTCTTGCAGAAGGTATGGGAGGGGATGCCGTTGAACATCTAACGGGCGTCTTTATGCAACTGCTGCCGAGGGGCGATGCTGCAAGGCGGGTGTAAGCAAAAAATTTTTGAAAGAAATTGTAGTCCACACTCACTACTGAAGTCACTTTTCTGAGAACTATAAGTGCTCGGTCGTACAGACGCACATCTTCTTTTCGATGGCAAGCTCATGCAATATAAGCTGCAAAAATGTTAGGAATCCATATAATGATGTGGATATGAACGAGACGAACTTGAAGACCTTTGGAAACTTGAGCAAAAACAAAAACTTACGAAATGCATGAATCAAATGCCCTAGCCTACTGAAAAGAGACAGAGGTAGAGTTAGCTATTGCGAAGGAGAGCGATTTTTCAAAATAGGTCGGTCAAGCACATGCCATTTTTGAACTGCAACGCAAATTCATAAATAGAGTTTGACGGGTAGTCCGACTGTATTCGAAGCACAATTTCTTCCTTTTACGAGCAGCTATGATTGAGGTTGTTCCGAAAATTCTTTCCGTCATTTCGACCAACCATGAATACACGTGAAACAAAGGAAGGAAAACACTTAATTTATTCGAAGCAGATTTCCACCTTTTCTCAACAGTCATGTTTCCGAAACCATTTGCTTTCACTGAATTAATCGCCAAAAATTCGAACCCATCATTTTTTGTCACACCTAGGGTCAAATTCCCAAAATTCTCGGTCTCAATTCAAAAACCTGCAATAACAGGTGGATAGAGTAAATAAAGTGCAACACAACAATTGTTTGGGCATCCCGACTGACTTTTCGATAAATTCCAAGTTGGTTTTTCTGAAAAGTCTTCATTTTTGCAAAGTCGTGTGATACACGAACGCATCAAGCACTGAGAAATCTTCGAATTCAAGAGTTCCAAAACTCGATTATCATTAACACTAATTTTCCAAGGCAAACGAGCGCCCGCCGCTTTGTAACTAATTTTAAAATTTTGGGCACGTCCATAAGCGCAAATACTTCACAACTAGAATGATTAGTTCGCGAAAGTCCCATGAATTGAGATGAAAAAACACCCATCAGAACGAGGAGAAAAAGCTGCATAGAACAATACTTGAGTTGCTTGTCGGTTGAAGTTCTGTGAGGTTTGGCTTGACCATATATGAAATTTGTTGACACCATAATGTTGGTGATTCTGAAAAACCAGCTGGAGATGCCAAAAGAAATTATAGCGTTGCACACTGTTAGCTCTATCCAAATATTATAAAAGCATTTCCAGAAGTTCAAAACAAAATATTGAAAAATTTTCCGATCTTGAAGATAGTGAAGACCATGGGTTCAAAATTCTTGTAATAATCTCAGTAAACACAAAAGACGAAGAAAAACTGCGTCGAATAATTTTTGAAGTGTTTGCCAATCTTTGTCTCGCGTGTTTTTATGATAGATCGAAAAAACAGGAAGAACTTTCGGAACGACCTGATATTTGAGTTTTCACTAGCGAGCAAAGCAAGAAGAGAAAATCATTTGCAAGTCAAGACTTTTGCTTCAGATGGCCTTTCGGCGTTTACCGCATGACTGAAAACTTGAGAAAATCGACGATTTTTTTCCGCAATTCTTCACAATCTGCAAAGAAAAACACCAGACAGAAAGAAGATAGGAGCTGCATTGAGTGGTATCTGTGGCGCTTGCTTGCTATCGATCCACGGGGTTTGTAAACAAATAAAATATTTGGTCACTCCAAAAATGATATTTGAGAATGCCTGGTTGCCGGAATGCAAAGAAAAGATTACATGGCAGAAAATATCCGTTATCCGAGAGTTATTTCTTTGCAAGTCTAAAAAGATGTGAAAATTAATTAGACAGACAGAGAACCGGGTCAAACGCTTCGGAGAATATTTAAGCGCCTCTTGTGAAAATCACCCCGAAAATGTAGCTCCTGGGAAGGCGAAAAAATCTGTATCGAATGCAGCTGAAAAATCCGGTCTATCCTAATTCTAGTGACATGGGGATTGGTCTAACGGCACGAACTTTATATCGAATAGATAGAAGATTAGCAGTATTTTTAGAGGAGACCATCTCTCAAGGGACTCGCAGCTGGTGCGATCCAAGAAACCAACACTAAACCTACACACCAGTTCTAATGAGTATGAACGATCGATAAAAATTTGATTTTGGAAGAGAATAAGCTTTTTGCTGGCGATTCAACCTGGGAGGAACAATACGAAATGTCTAGATTTCAGCTGCTCTCATATAGTGCTGTTTACAGACTGCAACACTACATAATGAAGCGTTAACTCCATCGTTAAGACGATGCCTATATACCATTTAAAACCTGCAATCTGAGCACAACTGCACACACATATAAAACAAGGCCCGGAAGCTAAGGAGTTAACTGAGTCTTCCAGGCGGTAATCAAGGCAACGAGTGCCCAATAAAAGTCCTTTAATCACGATCAAAACACTTCAAGAAGAAATTGGACCAGAAGATCAAACACCGTGTACTACACTACGCTAGCTGTTTTTCCGACGTATTAGCAAATCAGAAAATGACAGACGAGAGAAATAACAAGCTATTATTACTCTAAGGTGCTTTCGAATCCAGAATTAGATGTTGTTGAGACGAGCTCCTCAGAATCGCTCGCGTAGACCTAGCGAAGCGCGTTTGATTGGAGCGCGTTATCGTCAGCCAGATATAAATCTTAGTCATATTTCTCCTTTATTTCTTTTCGACTGAATAAGTTATAGAATCGATTTACTTCCTAACTTTCTTCAAAAGCAAGAGTATTTGAAGAAACTTTCAGAATAGTCGACGAATTCTTCGTGGTAGCTGTTCATCCCGTCATCTTTACCACTTTATTGAGCTGAAATGAGCTTCAAGGTGCCCTAACATAGCATTATACGCGTCCTGCCGCCTTTAGAGCCGAAGGACGACCACAATATTTTTGATCATGAAGCTTTATTCGTTCCGACTTTGTGGCTCAAGTTCATGCTTCTTTGGTGTAGCAACTTTGTTCGCCTAGCAGCTCCTTCAAAGGCTAGAAGCGTCATCGCTAAGAAGATTTCGCGATACTCTTCCTTCAGCGCACTTCGAAACTACAGCGATACGCTAGCTTCAGTAGCACACAAGTCCGAGATGCTGAGCCTAGTAAGAAGGGGGGCTTCTCTTCAAAGTTTGCATGTACCTCTGCCGAGAATTAGGTGCAAAGTCTTAAAAGGCCTACACGATCTACAAAATTGCGCACGTGATTGTTTTTACCTGCTAATAATTTTGATAAGTGACGGGGGCTGCTGCCCTCCCGAAAAATGCTAGTACTGAAGCCGATTGGAAAGCTATACCAAACCATTTTTCGGAAAGCGTGGCTAAGGGCACGCCCCCAAATTTTGAGAAAACTTTCTAGAGTTGGCTACCGCTACGCTCTCCGAGGTATGTTTGGGGGTTCGAAAATTTTTTTGCGATTTTTTTGAAAAGTTTAAAGAATTGTTCTAATTATCTACAGGTAGGCGCAAACTGCACAGTTTCATACCAAAATTCTAGCGGACTTTTGCTTCAAAGGCCTAAGCTTGAATATTGACACGAAAACAAATTCACGTTGGTACTAAAGACAAAAGACTCTAATCAAAATTTTAAGTACCTTCTTGGGGAATCTTTTCTTCAAGAAGTTGTTTCTATAAGAGATCTGGGCCTCATGGTATAAAGTGACCTCAGTTTTGACGATCACTGCAAGTTGGTAGCAGATAAAGTCACAAGGTCGATATACAGTGTGTTTAGAGTTTTTGCAATCTATTGCACGACTTCCTCATCAAAGCTTACAAATCATTCATAATGCCTATGGTAGAATATGGTACAGCCATATTTTATCCACACTTGCGTAAAACGATTGACTATATGGAAAGAGTTCAGAACACACACGCAAACTTTTCATCCGAAGGGTGGGCTTTAGATATGATCTCATACCAAATGTATGACTAGAAACATTGAACTGGGGATTGCACCTCTTGCTTATAGAAGGCGTAAGTTCGACCTTCTCATGGCACACAAGGTAGCATATGGTCATTGCGGCTTGGATTTTGGGGCGTTCCCACTAGAAAATCTAATACCAGAGGATGAAGTAGGAAACTGATTATCTCCAGGCCAAGACACAAGGTCCGCAGATGTTTTTTCACCTGTCGCGCCACTAACGACATGGATAAACTGGTTAGAAAACGCTTATTTCCTGCAAAGTTGTCTTCGTATAAGAGCGCTTTAAAGAGCTATCTCCACGCTCAGTGATTGTTGCTAACACGGGTTGTTACGACCTACTCAATCTTACATTTTCGTTGTTTTTTGTTTTGTTTTTTGGTGTTGTTCCGTTGTTGCGGTTACCATAGGGTCATCCCCTATGCAATAAGTGAAATGAAATGAAATAAAGGCTACTGCACGACGAAGGCGCAGGAACAGTATTAGCAGTTGAGTGGGCGAAGCGGCGCGAGCGTACATATCATTGGCTCCACGATTCGTGTAGAGGCGGGGTTTTGCCAACTCAAAGCGTGGCGGTTTTTGATAGCGAGAGAGTACAAAAAACAATGCCATGACGTGGAGGTTCAACAAGTTTACCTGTGTTATCAGGCAAAGTCTGCAATACACCTCTACACGAATCGTGGAGACAATCATACCTTCACCTTCACTTCCAACTTGCGCCTCATACGCTCTGCGGTTATGAAGCCGCGTTCGTGTGCAAGGATAGTGCGCGTTCGTCAAGCAGTAGCCTATATAGATGTAGATGGCACAATACTCTTGTTAGAACCTGTCAAAAATGTAGATGACCTGTCAATTTTTTGACATGCAGCAGAAGATCGACACTTCTTCCTGTGGAGTTGGGACTGAATATGGTGCAAGGAAAGAAATGCTATCCCTTTTTGAAACTTTTGGTCCGAAAAACGAAAGAACGAAAAAGTACCACTCCGTCTTTTAACAGGATTTCGTGCAATGCAAACATAACAATTGTAATCGACGTGATGTCTAACCAATCACGAATCTTCGAATTCGGAAGAATTCACAATTCGCAGTGTCACAATCTGACGAACAGTATAGGGGGGAATCTGGATCATGGTCCGCTGCACTGTCTTTAGAGATTTCAACTTGCAAAAAGAACAAGGTGAGTTGTATGTCAAGTACACGAAAAGCGCGTGCGAAATTTGACTTGACTATCCAACGCTTCTCTCACAAGGGAAGGATACTTGGTTCGAAGTGGCGTTTCTACATGAAATGTAGAGAATCTTATAGAGCATAAAGCGCTGATTTCAAAGCGCTTCTGGGAAGGGAGTTATGGAAATTTTTAAACCAAAAACTTGAACGCACAGGTACATAAAACCGTTCAAAACTATAGTCCGTGAGCTCAAATGGGGCCGTGATTACTGCCATGGCGCTTTATGCAGTTGATACGTTTGTTTCAGTAAACTACAAAATTACAAAAAGCGCCCAGGCAGTAATTATGGCCCCATTTGAGCTCACAGACTACAGCTATAAATGATTTTATTGCGGCCTGCATTCAACTTTTTGCTCTAAAAGCTCTCATAACTCCCCTCCCAAAAGCGCTTTGCAGATAGCAATAGCAGATTTGAAATCAGCGTTCCATGTTCTATAAGACTGTATACATTTTGTATGGAAAAGCCACTTCGACCAAGTATCCTTCACTTGTCAGTGTACCTAAGTGTGCTAAAAGAAGTCACACACAAAGACACCATATTCGTCGTATACAGCTGGCCGGAAAACCTCTAGCGCGGTTTCCTGTCAATCCAAGATCCATCATACTTTGGTCAGAACGCGAGCAGGGCCTTGAACAAGGAAAGTCAGAGGAATTCTTGTGAAACCAGGTTATCTACCCTGGTGATTAGAGAAACACATCTACTCCGTAAGTTAGCGTCTTGAGGTAGGAAAAACGCGACATTTTCTTACCATCGTCCCGTTTTTGTTTTTTGATCTTAAGGTATCAAAAAATGCAGCAACTTTACATATGTATGCCTGATGTGGACAGCATCTGCAGGTTAGAGGTTCGTACGATTCTTTTAATAGAAATCTGAGTTTTGGGTACACATTAGTTGGGTGCTGACAAGACCATCCGAATCGCCTATTGCTTGCCAGTTCTGATTGTGCTCCAATTACAGGACTAAGAACACAGTTCCTGTGGTCCTTTTCTGGCTGATTGTCCATCTGCCGCTTTTTCCTCGACGGACTTTCAACACCAGCTTCAGTGCGGTTCCTATTGGCAAAATGGGGCCCAATCAAACGTCATAAATTTACTGGCAAATACCACACAATCTTCTCAAGCAAGCTCTACATGGAATTGGAATGAAATGCAAAGAAAGCAGCAAATAAGATTTAAAAGCTTTATAACTGCGACACAAGGTTACGAGACAAATACAGCAAAAACTAAGATGTGGAGAGTATCATTAAGCTTCCTCAATCTCTCCAACTTCATCTTCAACGCATTCAGTCTTCTCAATCACTAATTCATTAGTGATAATGCTGCCTTCGATGCCTTCGATAACAACATGCCTTTCCGAAAATCAAAATTAAATACCAGTGATTATATAACACAATGAAAATATATTAAACCCACCTTTGACGGAAGAAGCGTTGCTTTTTCAAAGTAAAAATGGTAACTGCAGATGTCTGCGCTGCAAAAGTACAGTTCAAAAGTATCGCTTCTTCTAACAGTGCGAGAAAACTCACAGTGCTCTTCCTATTGGTATTCTTGCATGATCGTTTCAAACCACTATAGCCTCCAAGAGTTTGCAAGAATTTCTCGCGTGTGTCGACATCTTCTGCTAAGGACATTACCACCTAAACTCTAGAGCACATGATGATCTTCCGAGAACGTACTTACCTGTTGGCATTTCGCTTATGATCTGGAGTCCGCAGAAGTCTGTCGTGATATAGGCCCTGCACTTCAAGCACGGAACCCAAATCAGTTATTGAAACTAATGTACTTAAAACACATTGAATCACTTATTAGAAAACGACCATTCCTTGCGGAAGGTCTTGAAGATGATCAAATTTCCACTTTTTCCTGCTCTGTCTAAAGGAATTTTGAATCT